ATGATCCATGTCTGCGCTTTAACGTTGGCTGCTGAAATGACTCCAAAAGGGATTCCCCGGGGCTGCTAGTCTGCTAGCTGGCTGCAAACTGTGGAATGGATATCCTGAACGGAGGTGCAGCTCAATCATAGACTGTAAAAAATAGGGCTCAATGAGACACACAGACGCCCGCTCAAGAAATCCATTCCGCAGTTTGCAGCCAGCTAGCAGGATAACATTGAGCTACCAATATGTTCGCTGTGTGGAAATCCTATGGTGGAAATACTTCACACTGGAAACACCGCAGCAGAGCAAGACAGCAAAATGCAATGTTTGCAAAGCCGTATAAATTAAACTATTTGTCTGTGATGCATGTTTGCAATTCGCAGTCCAGAAGAGAAAGAGAGAGATCTCTCACGCGGTGCCACAGCACGCACAACACGACAGCCCTGCTTAATGAGTGACGACAGAGGAAACATAGCCTGGTTACACTTTAGATCTGTGATATTAGTCTGATTTCCAAAGATTAAAGAATATATTGAGGTAAAAAAAAACATTAAACAATAGCCGCATTCTGTGTAGCCAACTTCCTTCCCATCGCGGCGGTGCACTAGTCATTTCTCCCTAAAACTCAAACTTTAAGACAGAATCAGCACGATCGGTAATTGTTGTAAAATGCCGTCTCTGCTGTTGCTAAATAGCGTGACGCTTTTAATAATAAAAAGAGCTATTAAAAGCACAAAATTTGCGCAAGAGGGCAAGAGGGCGGCGCGCGCTCCGAAACACAAGCAAATTATACTTTGGGCTTCATATGCGCGTCTAAACGATCAAAAGTAGCCTGCACAAAAATGTCAAAACGACCGGCTTGGAGATTATCACTTAACTACGTTCATTTTAGACATAAACGGTTTATGGAAATAGTTGGGAGAAAATATGGTGCATCAGTAGACTATGAAATCCGCACTAGTTCTTAAAGGGGCAGCAGTATAAATGTGACGATTGCGACATTACTGAGAATAAAACAACCAAAGGCAAAGAGAAAATCACTCACAGCTCTTGAATGAATAACTTCAGCTTTAATAAGCATAAATCTATCTAAGATAAACTTTGCAGTGCTATTTTACTTTTGATTACTTTATTATAATTCTTTTTAGACGATATACCTGAATAATGTTAGTAGACCTTCCTGAAATTAAAGCACTGTGTAGGCCTGTATAATGCGTATATCTTTGTTTAATTGTCTATCTATTGTTTAATATATCTATTATATATATATATATATATATATATATATATATATTGACATAGGCTACATACGTACGTATCATCCTTGCTTGTAGAGAGGTGTTTATTTCAGCATCATATAAAATCAACAATAATGATAAATAATGTTAAAGCAAACACAGGTCTGGTATCGGAAAAGTATCGGTATCGGCAGATATCCAAAGTCAGGTATCGGGATCGGAAGTGAAAAAATGTGGATCGGTGCATCCCTAATTTTAACATTTACAAACTGATTCTAAAATCAATGGAAAAAAGCTATATGAATTGTTCGTTTAAAAAATAATAATGATTAAGTAACAGAAGTGAAATGCTTACTGAATGAATTTTAGCAGTCATTAGTCTACTTCTGTATGAAATTTTAAATGTGGGGGGGAAAAAAACGTCATAAAAAATTGTCAGTATGATTTACAAAAGGTTCAGGCTAAACGTGTTTTTGCCTACTATTTCAAAGAGTGTACATCTGTATCCAGAGCTGAACTACTATATCAATAATAAATCCACACACCCCCATCCAGATATGGAAAGATATATAGTACATGCGCACACACACACACATTTATTGATTTAGTGTGACAATACATTGTCTTAATAGCTGTTAAAGACACCTTCACTTAAGCATGAAAGCGAACAGAGCATGTTCAACTAGCCAAGAGAGATCACAGACAAGATTCAGATAAAAATGGATAATAAAGCAAAATGGTAAGTTTATTCCATGTATTTTATCTGTGCTATCTAAAATTTAGATCATGCCATCAACAATTATTCCATGACGAATGGCTTGTTATCAGTTTTATTTTAGTCTCTCCTTTACGCACTTAATTTTATAAACTAGTTCTACCTAAAACTACCACTATATATGCATTTCTGTTAATGCATTATTATTACAATGATTATTTTCAGCACAGTTAAAATATATTTTTAATAAAGTGCAAATAAAAACACTTAAAAATAAACTGAATTTCCATTTCAAGTATATTTTTCCAAAATATAAATATTTTTTAGAAAATATACTGAAGTACAATCATTAAGTGTGTTAAAAGTTGTATAGTGAAAATGGGTAAAAGCTTGATGCTAATATACTTTTAATACATTTAAAGATGTTAGTATATTTGCAATGTACTATTGAAAAAGGGAATATTTCAAATACAATAAAGTACTTTTTTTACTCGGGATAGCATTTAACAGGCTGTATATTGAGCCACATAACTACACTTTAAAAAGGGGATCGAATTATTTAATTAACTCATGTTTTAAACATTACAAATACGTTGATAAATTAAATATGGATTATTTTATGCTGCCTTTTGTTGGAGAAATTTTAATCTTACATTGATCAGTAGTAAGAATAACTAGTAAGTATAACTCTGGGTCATGTGTTTCTATCGAACCTTTATGTATGTATGTTTTTAATCTTCTTTTCACTTTCAGTAGATACTGCAAAGGAATTTGATATGGTTTTACCATTTGTAGAGGGATAAGAGACTGAAATTTGAAATTAATCTGAAATTTATGTTTATATACCTGAGAAAGCAGGAGCGTGACACTCCCAAAACCAGACGAGCAAAGACTAGTCAATCTAGTCAAAGGGGGCTTACAAGGGTTAGTTAGTAATAATTATGAATAAATCTTTAGACAGTATGGGTCCTTTGTCTCTGGGAAATTACTGAAAGGCAGGCCTATAGCAAACAGCCTTGGAAAGATCTGTATAATGATTGCTCTGATTTTGTGTCCTGGGTGTCACTCTCTTGCACAGTATAATGTAAGAATAGATACTTCTCTTTTTATTTATCAGACTCTGAGTGTCACGATAATGTTGAACAGCATTTTTTTTGTATGCTGTGATGATGTTGAGCAGAATTTTTGCCACAACACTTTGCATCTATACCTAAACATTTCTAAAAATATTCAAGTATAGCAGACACAATTAAGTTTTCAATTATTTTAATATGGATAAGACAAGTTTAAATGTGCACATTTACAGTGTGTATAAAATCACAGGCAGTTTAACATTAAATGAGTAGTTCACTTTAAAAAAAACTTTTGCTGATAATTTACTCACCCCCATGTCATCCAACATGTCCATGTCTTTCTTTCTTCAGTCGAAAAGAAAATAAGGTTTTTGGTTACCAGTTTGGTTACCAGTAAAGTGCATTATGTGGAGAAAAATCTTGGAATGTTTTCGACTGAAGAAAGAATGACATGGATATCTTGGATGACAAGGGGATGAGTAAATTATCAGCAAAAGTTTTTTTAAAAGTGAACTACTCCTTTAATGACACTTCTACAGTCCTTTACTAGTAACGCTGGCTGCTTTTTAAATAAACCCATCCTCTGTCATAATTCAATCACTTTCCCTTTCCATTTCATAATCTCAGCTCATATAGACATAGCTGTCAGAGCAGGTGGTTCACTTTATATGAAGAGGAAGTTGTAACTTTTCAAATTTCCTTTTACACTTTCAGGTGACTGTTTGAAGAGGAGTCATTTGGACTTCAAATGGTGTAACCAAAAAAACGGCTAAAAAAAAAAAACACACACACACACCCCTCTCTTTTTTCCTAAACAAGTAGTGTTATAACGGTAAAGCTATTGTCCCTCTCGCGAAAAAAAAAGATTCCACATTTGGTTCTGGACCAAAAGAGGCAGGTTTTGATTGATACAAACGAGGGCCACCCAAGCCGAAAGTGATCATGGATCTCCATAACACAACATACACATCTATTCAAGCCAACTGCACGGTGGACACCAGCTACCGTTTCACTTACTACAAGATCTCCTACAGCGCAATCTTCATATTCGGTCTAGTCAGCAATGCCACAGCGCTACGGCGTTTCTGCCACATGCCTCGAACGTTCACCAGCACTGCCGTCTACATGGCCAACCTGGCTGCTGCGGACATCTTCTTTGTGATCTCACTACCCCTGCGCATCTATTATTACCACAACAAAGCCGCCACCTCCAACAGCACCAGCGACTGGTCTCCAGGAGGGGCTTTCTGTCAGATGACCTTCACGTTGAAGTATATCAGTCTATATGGAGGGATCTTCTTCCTGGTTTGTATTGGAGTAGACCGCTACTTTGCTGTGGTTAACCCTCTACTTCAGCACCTGAGAAAGGTCCGAACTGCCCGCATGCTCAGCGCCGGGATCTGGTGCCTGGTCCTAGCCCTCAGCCTCGCCCTACCATTCCTGCATTCGGCGGCATCCCGACGGCACAACTCGTGCCTTATGGATCCTTCTTCCAAACGTCACCGTACTATTATTTTAGCTGCTCTCAGCCTGGTGCAAATGGCCTACTTGCTGCCTGCACTGCTCCTGCTGTTCAGCTACTGCAGCATACTCCGTGTACTCCGCAGGCTGCCTCACCGCAGGAAGATCCGTCACCGACGCACACTCACCGTCATCTACTGGGTCCTGGTCATCTTTTTCCTTTGCTTCACCCCTTACCACCTCAATCTACTGGGTTACACTCTCACACAGGTGGGCATTTTGCACAGCTGTGGACTTGCTCAAGTCACTAAAGCTCTCCATCCCATAGTGCTCTCGCTGGCCAGCACCAATTGCTGCTTAAATCCCCTCATTTACTACTTTTCCAGCAGCCTGGTGCACAAAGAGCCAACCGGCAGTAGAGGAAGTGCTAGTCAATGAGCTAAAATAAACCGAATGCTTGCTAAACAGATGATTCAGTGGCTAAATGGATGAAACAATCAACATGAATGGCAGCAGACAATTACTCACCGCTCTCCACGCAAGGCTCTCCATGATAACATGTTCGCACTGCTCCAGGTGCTTCATCATGTCATGCTTCAGGGTGGGCTCAGCTTTGATGAAGCTCTCTATCAACTTGTAGAAGTTGAAAGCAGGAAGCTGGAAGACGTCCAAGATCCAGGGGAAGCACAGATCAGTTTCAATGGAATCGCTGGCCCCTGAGCTGCCAAAACCTCCATTCTTTATGGAGTTCCCTGGAAAGGGAAAAATGTGTAATTAACACAAACAATCTAATTCTGTCTTAAATGAAATCTACAAACTGAAACTAAAAGGGTGACTATGGGTACCACTAGGAGTTTATGAAAAAAAGTGTTAACTGCCAAGTATGCCAAAAAATACTAACCAACATAAGTTGCCAGTACAACTTCCAGGGCACATGCAAGCAGTGAGGTATGAAATGCAGCATTGTTGAGAAGTTTACTAAAAAAGGAAGTAACATGATTAATTGTCAGAGTACATTTCAGATTTATGACCATAATGATCTGATAAATGATAGTTAATGATCTGAGAAGATGCTCACTGTTTTTACCTGAAATTCTGCACAGATAATCTCTTCTCCTCCTAAAAATAAAACGCATGTGGCCATAAAAATATAAACATGACGAGCATGTAAAATTTATATCAGGTTTTTATAAGGCTTACCGATTTGAGCATCGACTCCATGACTTTGTAGTAGAGTTGGGCACCAAGATTAAACCGCTGAAAACACACACACAAAAAAGTTGCACCTTTGTTGTACATCACCTACACTACTGAGCAAGTTTGGGGTCTGTACGGTATTTTAGTTTTTGAAAAATCTTGTATGCTCAATATGGCTGCCAAAAAATAGAGGACAAACTGTAATATTATTACAATTTAAAATAATTGTTTTCAATTTAAATATATATATATATTAAAAAGTAATTTATTCCTGTGATGGCAAAGCTTTTCAGCAACATTACTCCAGTCTTCAGTGTCACATGATCCTTGTTGATTTGGTGCTGAAGAAAGTTTTTTCATTATCATCAATGTTGAAAATGGTTGTGCTGCTTAATTAAGTTTGTGGAAACCAGGATTGCTGAACAAAAGAGCTTACTGACCCCAAACAATAGTGAATTTCTGAAAAGTTCCAAAAGATATAGCACTGTCTTGTCTAATCAATTACTGTTATTAGGGAGTCATTTATAGATTCACAAACGTTGGAACTTTTACCGCTAGCCAATATCGCCAGCATTCGCTCTAAAACTGCAATTTGGAACAGTACTTGCTTCAAATGAATCAGGTATATGATTAATAAGAAATTTAAAAAGGCCTGATATTATCTGATTTAAAACAGACTGACGGTCTGCAGCCTTAATAGAATGATGGCAATAAATGTAAAAAATAAATAAACAGCTGGCAGTACCTTTCTCCCCAGTCCCTCACAGTGCTGGCCCACAGCCTGTGCAAACCTCTGGATGAAGACCTTGCCCAGCTCCTCAACCCTCTTTCTGATCTCTTCTGATGGGTCAACAGTGCAGTTCTGATGAACACATTCCAAATTAAGCATGACATATTATATTGTTTCTGTGTAATGTAAGTCCAGCCATCCTGTCTAGGAATCTTTTTTTTTAATGGAAATACCTTGTAATAGACTAGGAGATTGCTTGAGGGCTGGTCACTAGCTGAGGTGAGATCAACCCTGAGCTGCTGTATGGAGTTCATTGCAGCTCTGGAGAAACAAAATCGGGGCACATGAGTGAAAAGTGCTGGCAAAATGGGACAAGCTTCCGTTACTTAAGTGAAATTCTTTGATTGTATGATTTTTCACATAAAGAAACCCTTAAGTAACTATTTTAGTATCTCAAGTAATCTCTTAAAAAACGATAAGTGCCACATAAAGCCCCGTAAATGTCACTATCCTAAGTATAACATAAGGTTTGGAAAACTTCACCTAGTGTTACACGGAGCAAGCAGGTTCAATCCAAGTCTTCTAATGAGACGATCGTCTTTATACGATAAACAAATAAAAATTTTGCTGTATTTTCCAGTAACACCTCATTGCAGTAAACAAGATCCAGGGGGAGAAGTCGGATCCAGATCTGAGGGGTGGAGTTGGGTCGGTTTAGAGATCAGGGGTGGAGCTGGGTAGGTTTAGGTATATGTAAGGTGGGAGGAGTTGGATCTGGATCCGACTCCTCTCCGTGGATTTCATGTTCTGCAGTGAGGACCATCTCGTTTTTTCACATATAAACACAAACCACAAATATATGTGGTTATATATATGGTTAATGGAAGGTTAAACGTGTGTGTGTGTCAATGCGCAAGAACAAACCTCATTGGTTCTTGCCCCTGTGTGCATGTTTGAGCTTCAGAAACAGCCTATATAATATGGATTACTTTTATACCTTTCAATAATTGGATAAAATTATCTTTATTTGTTGCTAAAGATGAATGAAAGTCCTATGGGTTTTGTTTTCCTTATTCATGTTATGCTGTTTTCTGTGAAACTTACCGCTATCTGTATTAACAAATAACATGTCCATGGCAGCAAATTAATTTTACATCAGAAAAACCTGGGTCGCTGTCGTGAAACACTTAATGGTTTCCCTTACCCAAGAGAACTGTTTAAGGGATTTATGCAACACCCTTAAGTCATCCCCTAAGCTGAGGAGAAATCACGCCTCAAGTCTCATACTTAAGGTGCTTTATGCAACCGGGCACAGAGCTTTAGGGGCCACGTGAAAACACCAAAACCAGATCTCAGAGGGAACCCCATCATGTGATGTTAGGCATAAGCTTATAGTGTTAAAAAAACTGCTGGGTGCACATAATACCATACAAATGATTGTATGTACTGCTTTTCTTAAAGAAAGGTTTGGGATTTTTCAGAAATCATTCTAATATGCTGATTTGGTGCTCTAGATTTTTTGCTAAATAGAAAGTTCTGAAGAACAGCATTTATTTGAAACATAAATCTTTAGTAACAATTTCTTAAAATCAGCCTTTTCATGTTTTGGGTAATGAAGGCGCACAGTCGCACCTGATTGGGGTCTGTGGAACTGGAATTACAACATCTTCGCCTGGAAAATTCTTTCTTGGAGTCACTTCCACCTTTGACCTATAAGGAATATTGACATAAAAATGTAAAAAATGTAGCGGTCTGCAAAAATGTCTAACAATTTTAATTTCATGAAACTCACACTTCTATTTGGTTTGGGGAAAGAGTTTCATCATCCACCAAGAACAACCTGGCATCAAAGTCCTTGTTTTTGTGGTACAGCTCTTCATACTGCTTGGAAAGTGTTTCCATCTATAATAAAAAGAAAACAGATGGCCACAAGGACTACTTTAATTCAAAATTGTATTGTATGTCCTTCTTATACCGGTTACTTTATTGCTAATAATCAGAACTGAACCTGCAATAACATTCCTAATTATCACTACGCAAACAAAGAGTCCATAAAACAGTGTACACAGTCCAACATATAACAAGCTATGAAATACAATACAAGCAAGTCCAAGGTGGGAAGCACCTGATGGGGATTTGATTAGTTTTTTTTAAACATTCTCTATAGCTCTCAAAAGCAGTAGCAGCCTTTTTTAACCATTTTCCATGGGATATTACTCACAGGAGGAAGCCCTTGGAGTCCTGACAGACCCACAGAGTCCAGGAACGCACAGAAAGTGGTCTGGTACACGTTTTTCACCTGTAGACAATAATGTGACCTCTAGTTAGAAGAAAGAAAACGCTTCACCATGCATATGAGCTACTTTTCACACATGATCAAGTTTGCAATGACATGACTCATGTTGTGTTTTTGAGCTGTATATAAACTGAATATAAAATTAGTTGCAGTGTTGGGGTAACACATTAATAATCGGATTACTTTTAAGTAATGCATTTATTTTACATTTATGACAAAATATCTGAGTTGCTTTTTCAAATAAATAAGCCCAACCCACCCCAGAAAAGTAATGCAAAAGTTATTTAATGCATTATTTAATGCAATTTTTGTAATGCATTACATTTAAAACTAACATTCCCCAACAAGCTGTATTTGAAAGCTTGCAATAGCCGTGTCTAAATTAGAGCCAACCTCATCCACACTGCAATTGCCCTCCTTGCACAGTGTCTCCAGCAACTGCATGTTCATCTCTGGTGGACGGGGTTTGGTTTTGCCCTGATTACGCCGGGATGCCCTGGTCGGAGGACTCAAGGTGGATGAACTAACCGCTGACTCTGGAATTAAAATATGCGAATGAGAAAATTTTCCCAAAAACGGAAGGGGTTAGCCTCAAAATCCATGTAATTCCAAGAAGATTCAAAGCATCAAAGATGTGTCATATTAAATCGACCACATTCACATAACAAAAACTAAACTAAACAGATTCTGCTATTGTACTAAATGCTGCAACAAACAACAGGAAAACAATGATTATTTGTATGTCTGGTTAGCTGGTTTCTAATGAAGTTCTTTAATGAGTCATTCATTATATTTTATCTTATTAACGTACAATGGCATTTAAAGCATTTGTCCCTGCTGCCTCTGAGCAGTGGAATGCAAGGAAAACTCACTGTAGGGGGATTGAAGGAGAGAAGGAGTGAAACGCTTGGTGAAGAACTCCAGAACACACAGCAACAACTGGAAGGCTATCACAAGGTCATCCTCCATCTGCAGAAATGTTCCTTTACAGGGAACATGACACAAAAACACGTGAAAATGTGGGCATGAGGATACGCTGTCCATGAGTCATGGCGAATATTATCCATAGAGAAGATAAACAAGGCTCATTTACATGGACAAAAACACGAGATGTGACAAACATTTTTCTGTGCAATTTTTCCTTTATGACTCACCCTTAGCCAAGAGGAACAAGGTCCAACTGCTTTCCCAAAGCTCTTTTCTCCTTAAAGGAAACAGGCATGGGACAGTAAGATCACTGATGTTTAATGAAACAACGATAAATATTACTACATGGAACTACAGCTGGGCAAACAGCTCAGACTGAAACAGGAATTTTACTCACTTTTCTTTGTCAGGCTCTGCGAAGATTTTTTCAAAAGTCCTGGAAGAAAATTTAAGATGTACTTTATTAGTCTCAGCAAACTTATACCTTTTCAGACGAAAAACATCTCAAAAGGGAATTAGACTAAATGCACTAACGGTGCACCAAAATGGCAAAACATTTTTACAAAAAATAATATCAAACATTATTCATTATTTTAAAATCCGCTTTAAACAAAGAGAGAAGAAAAAAAGACCAAACATGTTTCATTTTTAACATCCAAGAGGGTGAACTGAAGGCAGAACTGAAATGAAAGCACTTAAAAACTAACAACATTAAGAATACTAATTTTAAAATGCGTTTAAACAAATGCTATTGCTCATTTAGAATATTTTTTTATTCAGCTCTGTGTACCCAGATTTTCCTGGTTTTGACCATGAATTTTCATTTTGGTGCATCATTATCACTAACTGTACATTAAATGTATACACAACCCAAAACCAAACCCAAATGTAACATCAACCAGTTTATCGACTGTTATAGACACAAATGTGAAGACTTTATGATGCAGTGAGGAGGCTGCACAAATAACCAGTGTTTGTTGGCACGCGAAACGCAAAAACAAAGCACTCCTCCTACAGCATAACCACGGACTTATATAAGACAATATATCTAGACTCTCTGTTCACTACCTGTGAGTTTTTCAGTAACTGCAAAAAACAGACTGAACTGAGGCCAGCTGGCCCTGCAAGAAAGGCAGATTATACAGAGAACAGATCTTTCCCACACCCAGACACCTGCTGCCACCTTCTGGTTTAGAAATTACATGTACGAATAACTCATAGGTTTTTTCCATTCAAATAGACAAAATAATGAATCAAGTCTTAATGCATATCATGCTACATAAAAGCTTGAGCAATTACTGAAGACAAAACAGACAAACATTTTAACAGAGAAATCCACAACAGGTTTCATTTTAGGAGTGACCGGAGATGAGTTACACATTCTTTAAACCAGATGCAATACTATCTAAATAAAGTGACATGCTCAGGGAAGGGCGAGCACACCCAGAGGCATGCCCAAACCTCTCCCGGCAGTAGCTGTTCAGTGTAAAACTTGCATCTTCTTTCATGCTGTAGCTACACATTCAAGGATAGTTCTTGTTTGCCTTTAAGATATGGATCTCAGACACTACTAAGCCACTATATTGAAATGTTTGAACACTTGCATATTTTATTTTTAAGAAAATCAGGCAAGACTTTTTCCATGGTCCACATTCTACGAACTACAAGTAATTTTGCAATAATCAAACAATCTACTAACAGTCTACTAATACTCTAACGAGAGTTGGTTCACATTTAGTTGCCAAGTTATTTGTAGTTAGGAGGGTGTTTAAAGTTGACCATCAAAATAAAGTGTAATTAAAATTAATACTTTTCTTCAACAAGGACACAATCAACTGACCAAAAGTAACAGTAAAGACATTTACTTAGTTTAAAAAAAAATTAATAAATAAAACAATTCACTTGTTTCAGAGAACCCTGAAAAATCAATAATGGTTTTATATTAAGCAGCACAATGGTTTTCAACATTGCTGAACTAATAAAAAATTATAATGATGCTGAAAATTCAGCTTTGCCATCACAGGAAAACATTAGGATTTATTAAAATTGAAAACAGCTACTATAAATTGTACTAATCTTTCATAATGTGATATTTTACAGCCTTGGTGAGTATAAAATACCTTTTACCCCAAGTTAACCTCAGTAGATATTGGAACTGAACTGAGGAACTGTGATCAGTTTGATTCACAATGCTGATTAATCAACAAAATGTCAACGCATCGTAAAATTAATCATATATTCATTATACATCACTACTGCAAATTCAAAACAAAACTGTACAACACCTACTTCACAAATCTTTGGTAGAGGGCAAAGGTCACATCATATTTCTTCTCCAGTCGTGTCACAGCAATGTTCACTTTAGGGCTTATTGTGTCCACGTTTACATCCATCTTCCTCACAAGGCTGATGAACTGCTTCACACTGCAAAGGAACGACATATTTATGTGATCAGCTAAAGACAATGAAGGAGGAATACCTGACGTCAACAGCCACCCCGTCAACCATAAATCACTTATTATAAAAAGTAATATTATACTGTAAAATGAAAAAAATAAAAATAGAATTTAATAATAACTACAAGAATATAATACATTATAAATCAATATGTTATGATAAAATAATTAACAATTGCTATATTATTATTTTATTTAAATTTAGTTTTACAGAACAGTACTATTACAATACTAACATTTATGGTTGCCTACTTGCACTTTTTTAGGGTAAAATGACAAGGTTTTGGGTAGAAAACAAAACACAGGCTTTACTCTGAAACATGCAGCGTGTCAGACTATGTATTTTTATCATTACATCCCAACTGTTGTGATTTGATGATCGCACTAAGCCAGATCACATTCTCACAAACATGCATTGTCAAAATTCATAAAAGAAGAGTTACCGGGCAACAGGCGAGAAACATCGATTCATTGCTGATTTTTATTTTCCTTTGACACTTTGATGCAAATGGCGCAGTGTTAATCAACCAGTGCATGATATAAATGTATTAGATTAGAACATGGAAGAGTTTGCAGTTTTAAATGTATTTGTTAGTAATTGTTTATGGCCATTTGGTGATTTCAATCATTATACAACAAAAAAAAATTCCTCAGATTTAAGCAATTCATGTGGATCATCCTTTTAAAACAGAAAATCAGAAAACAGCAATCTGTATAAACACGCAAAAAATCCACCCCTGCGTATTAAAGTGTAGAACCTACATTATTAACACTTTAAAGGCAAAACTACACTTTGACAGACCAACTTGTTGATCCTATAGGGGAAGAATCCCCTCAGGACTTCCCCATGACATGTTTATTTGCCATACATACCTCAGTCCAACCACTTTTAGGAATTGTGTGAAGGTCAGGCTGATGTCTTCAAGTTCCATGCCAGCAATGAACAAACAAGCTCCCCACTGCTGTCTGTTCGAATACGGCATCTAGCATGGAAGACACAGACATGTTTGTGTATTGTACATTTAAAAACCAATACACTAGAGTGGTAGTGGAGATAGAGTAAAATGTACATTTGCCTTTTCCATCGGCCTGATCTCCCTCTCCCAAATTCTCCAAGCATGATCACAGATGAGATTTGTGGCACGGAGTTCCTCACTGAGAGACACGAATTCAGACTCCTTGTCCTTGTGTCTGGTAAAACACCACAGTTGACAAGACATGAGTAAACACATTGCAAGGATATTTTGACACTATTGTGGGGTGGTCGCTATTAACTGGTGCTGCAGGTCCAACAACATGTAAAGACATCTAACACCAAGTTGTCAACTGTTTAGCCACCACATGAGTCACAGTATTCAGCAAAAAAGCGTTAACTTACTAGCCAGTGATGTTCACCAGATATAGTGATAATAGTCTCTATTATATATTATACTATACTATAATAGACAATAGAATGTGTGGGTAAATATGACATGTACACAACTGCTTGAATGGAACATTTCTTGTACACAATAATACAATTTAAAAAAATCAGATATTGTGTATCCCAAATGGCCAAATAAAGCCTGACTTTATTACAAATAAATAATGATTATAAAATCACCATTGTTCTTTTAGGGCTTGACAGCCGCATTTGCACTAATATTAGTCGCAGTAAAACATGGTTTGCGTCGTAATTATCATGGCATAACAAAGTAACTAAACTATTAAAAAATGTTAACCAAAAAAAGAACTAATTTATAACAATGTTACTGACAGTTACTTACGTTATAGTACAGAGAGGTTATACGTTCTCATAAGAGTAAGTTAACGTTTTGTCTTAGTTTACGTTACTGAAGATGGTTGACTAACAACAGTTACTTTTATTAATTCAGGCATCTTTTTCAAATACTGTTGGTTGCTGGCTTCATCTGTCACAATAATCTACAGCTATAGACTGTCTGTCTGTATTAATAATTCGTTGTGTTTATTTCAGAGACAGTCGCGCGGTGTGTCCTCACCGTTCAGGGCTCAGCACTGCGTTCTCGCTACTGTCCGGAGATTCGCTCTTCGTGTTCCCTTTGAACTCTTTTTTCTGCGGGGTCCCGCTGCTGCGCTTCTTCGGCGGCATGTCGATAGTCTCGTGATGGAAAGCGCGCTCACTCACAACACGACGAGCGAACAAGGGCGGCGGGTTTGTGTTTCGATGTTGTTGTGGTTAGTGGTTGGATGTCGGAGCCCGAGAATACTTGTTTGTGTCCGCAACTCTTCAATATTTCCTGAACTACCCAAAACGCGGGAAAATTGATCGACGCAACGTCCGCCACTGTTGCGTCACGTCCGGTTCTTGCGCACAGTAGTACCAGAGAAAGTCTAATAGTACTGACCATTGTAATGACCTTTCTTTTACTGTCTATGGTAATGACCATAGCATAAACAAGATATCTATGGTAATGACGTCAACAAATCTTTCTTTCTTTTTTAAAGATACATTTATCCAGTTTTACAGACGTCTCAAACTATGCATGTTTGAGCTGTTCTATTGCTAAATTCAACATGGACTGACACTGCCATCGATGTTAAAAAATAATATTTTAAGGCACGCTCGCTAATACAATCTATACTTCAATGTCCTAATTTAACTAAGCCATACTCCTGGCTTAAGTCCTGCCTGTGAAACCTGGTCATTATGTTTTAACCATTATATTTCATCATGAAGAACGTATTAGATAAATGCATATATATATACATGCCTAAAATGAATGCTGTTTCGTTCAAAATTCACAATAAAAAATGAAGATAAATTAACAGCAAGTTAAATTTGACTGAGTCATTGCCTAATTTTCCAATTCGTTTTTACACAAATATGTCATGAAACCATGATACACCTTTTAGTTTTACATTAATATTATCCATGTATCTAAGTTAGTTTTTCAGTTAAGAAAACAACAGTGGTCACCATCAGAACATAAGAAAAGTCATTAAGACTTTATGGAATCGTGTATTATTTCTATTAAATTAAGTGACTATTAGAAATGTGTACAAATGTATTGATATGTATAAAAAATTGACAGTATATCATATTTGAGTTTCTATTTTGTTTATTCTCTCTCATTTTAAATTATTGTCATTCAAATTAAATATTGATATAATATTGGTCATATTTTTGTCCCTTATGAAAAAAATACATCTGACTCACTGTTGACCGAATGGCACCAAATTAATGCCAAAAACAGCATCAATTAACCATTCTATGTATATCCAGTCTAGTGTTTTATTCCAAGTAGGAACCTTTCTTCTGTTTCTCCACGGGTTTATTTAAAACAGCAGTTCACCCCATGAATTGTGCGTTATTCATTAAAGAATGACTTGAAATATTGCTGTTTAAAAAGAAAACCCCAGGCGCTATAAACAGGAGCAAAGGCACTAACGTGCATTGTCTTGAGGGAGAGATGTAATAAATAAAATTTCCTATATCAAAACCCTGCACCCATACTAAGACCATCAAAGTCTCAGCAAATAACACATAATGTATACATTAGACATTTAGCTCAGGGAGTGACAGAACAAATGTATTTCTACTATGCAATAATACAGAAAATAAACATTTGCACTGAATCATTTTTCATAAATTTCAAATGTAGCCAGGTAATATTTGGCACACACATCTCTAGATTTCATCACATTCTTTCTCGTGTAGAAAGAAAACTCATAATGTGCCAATGAATGTGTCAGGTACGGACCATGAGACTTAGATAGGACACAGACATTAATCTTTGATCTAGTGGCAAACAGACTTGCGGTGTTTGTAACAACATCCTGAAGGAAAATACAAACCCTTGTCTAGCAATATCTTCTGAAATTCCAGAAAATGACCTTAACAATGACTTGGGTTGAGAGGTTACTTCAGGCTTTAGGAAGCAATGTGATGTACAGTATATGAAAGGGAGTATGTGGGTAAGAAAGAAAATAAAAAAGAGAGAGAACAACCTGTTGTATTTCCCAGGGAGAGCCTATAACCAATGAAAGAGACCTCTCCAAATCTTAAAGTCCACTGTTTTAAACTGCTTGCTCACAGGAGCATGGTGAACGGTTTCTCCAGGAACTTGCGGAACTCAGCCAGCCACTGTGCACCGACAGCACCGTCTACTACCCGGTGATCACAGCTCAGTGTCACAGACATCATGCTAGCCACGTCAAACCTGCAAGACACACAGAAAATGCAGGAACTATTTTAAGAGCTTCATCTATATTTGTGAGGATGTGGAGTGATGGCAAATTGAGGTCCTTGCTCACCCTTTTTCGTTGTCTGCAGGCAACAGTCTCTTTTCTGAGCCACCCACAGCCAGAATGCAGGCTTGAGGAGGGTTAATGATTGCTGAAAAATTCTTGATGCCATACATGCCCAGATTCGAAATGGTGAAGGTGCCACCCTAGAAAACCAAGAGTGTTTATGTAATGTATTTTTTAGGGCTGTGCAAAAATTAATTGCGATTAATCGCATCCAAAATAAAAGTCTGTGTTTACATAATATATTTGTGTGTGCTGTATATATTATTTTGTATATATAAATACACACACATGCATGTATATATTTAAGAAATTGTGTTATTCATATATAAGATATTTACATTTATATAATATAGATTATGTATTTATATACATATACAGAATTTAAGCACAAATAATTCTTAAATATATACATGCATGCATAGGTATTTATAAATACAAAATAATTATATACAGTACACACAAATATATTCTGTAAACACAGACTTTTATTTTGGATGCGATTAATCGCAATTAATTTTTGAACAACCCTAGTATTTTTATATTATTTTATTTATATGCATATAAACATACATATACACACACTCACTAGGATAAAAAAAAAACTTAACACTTTTTTCTAAATCAACGGTTGTATTTGTTAACATTAGTGTATTGTGAACAAACATAAACAGCTGGATTTTTATGAACTAACGTGAACAAATACAGTAACAAATGCATTGCGTTTAGTTCTTATTCGTGAATACATTACCTAATGTTAACAAATGAAACCTTTTCTAAAGTGTTACCATATATACAGTATACATATTTCTGATATCCACATGAAGCACCTAAAGTACTCACCTGGAATTCATGAGGCTGTAGTTTACCATCTCGTGCTTTAGCAGCTAATGAGCCTACGTCTTTGCTGATAGTCGCAAGGCCCTTAATATGAGCATTAAATACAATGGGAGTGATTAGACCCACAGGTGTACTGACTGCGACACTAACATCCACCACGTGATTTCTGTCCGGAGAGAAAAAGTGCTTGATTAATTCAGATTCACTTTCATTAAAACGTCACATCAGTTACTTAACATTTACTTATATGTGAGAAAATACTGCTGCCATCAGAAGTGCACAGTGGGAGTCCACTCACTGTCTGATAACTGTGTCCATCCAGGAGGAGTTGGCCTCTGGGACCTTTAAACAGGCTAGAGCCGAGGCCTTGATGATGAAGTCGTTGACCGAGAGTTTGATGTTATCAGCTTTCACCTCCTGATCATGAGGGAAAGGTACCATTTAAATCAGGACTACTGTAAAGTGGAGCTTATCGTCATGTTACAGCCACGGGAAATGAGTTCACTCACAGCATTGAGCTCTTTCCTGAGTTCAAGAACTTGGTCCATGTTGACATCAATAGACAAATAATAGTGAGGAATAGTCTGTTTTGACAGCATCAACCTCTGGGCGATCACCTAGATAGCACAGCAGTAAAGAGACAGGCAGGGAAACAGAGTATTATGGGTAACAGAAAAGTCTTCATGTACACCTAGAGAATATAAAGCGTCTTCTGAGGTCAGTGGACTCACTTTGCGGATGTTGCTGATGGGGATGTCGGTGAAGGTTCCTGTCGGAACAGCAGCAAAAGCAGGGGCGGCTGGAGGGCTGGGTGTGGGTGCGGGTGCAGCAGGGGAAGGTGCAGCGGCTGGGGCCTGGTGGTATGAAAACAATTATATATGTTATTTACATTTATTCATTTCGCTGACGCTTTTATCCAAAGTGACTTAAAATTGCTGTATATGTCAGAGGTTGCACACCTCTAGAGCAACTAGGGGTTAAGTGTCTTTCTCAGGGACACATTGATGTCTCACAGTGGATTCAAACCCGGGTCTCTCACACCAAAGGGATGCGTCTTATACACTGTTCCATCACCAACATATTTAGGTTTAATTAAGTTATTTACTTATTTCCAGTTATAGCAACTATTCTAATTTTCGTCTAGAGAAAAACAGTTTTTAATAGATTTAGTTAATGTTAACACTGTTGAAAGGTTTTAAAGGTATACTCCACTTTTTTTGGAAATAGGCTCATTTTACTGATATACATCATATTTTACTGAAATAGGTTACTGATATTCTTCTAAATATCAGAAAATCGGCTTAATGGATTCGAAAACGGTAAAAAAAACTCAACTGTTTAACTCTGGGAGAATTGTAAAATGAGCCTATTTCCAAAAAAAAGTGGACTATCCCTTTAAGAAGATTGAAATAGCAGGAATTCTGTGGAAATTTGTGCAGCATTATGGCACATATTCTATCTGGGCTTTCTTAAAAGAAATTGAATGACTTACAGGAGTGGGCTTAGGTGGGACGAAGCTGTCGATATCTTTCCTGGTGACTCTGCCATCTGGTCCAGTTCCTATTGACAAAGCAGTAGCATATTCCTAGTTCACTGTGAGTGACATCACCCATGCAAATGAAATGAGCTAACAGACAGCATCAAAGCTCTACTACCTGTGACTTGGGCGATGTTGATTCCCTTTTCGGCAGCCAGTTTCTTGGCTAGAGGGCTGGCAAACACCCTACCCTTCCTAGGAGCTGCAGGGGCGGCTGGAGCAGCGACAGGAGCTGGGGCGGGAGCTGCTGCTGGAGGTGGGGTGGCCACCTGAAAATTTAGCTACAATTAAAAGTCATATATGCAATACACATATTAAAATTATTTCTTTATAGTTAGGTTAAAGATTTAAATCATTAACTTCTTCAAATTTGGATTAGAAGATGTTACGCTTCTAAAAACGTTCTGGGCTGCAGTTCCCAGAAGCATCTTAAGCCTAAGTTGTAAGCCACCGATGATTGATCAACTTAGCTCACAATTCTGTTGAGAAACACAAGTGCATGTGCCAATGTGTGTACAAACATTACCACTTTTTTTTAACAATCTTAATATCTTATCAGAACATATCATGTGCACCACAACCTACATTAACGTGTTGTAGTCTATTCTTGATGGCCACACCCACAAAATTGGCATGGTGTGATTACAGTATTGCAAAACACTACAAATATTGCAAAGTGACCTTTCACTTTCAGTCATGGCATGAAACTTGATATAATGATGGCAGTAAAAACACGACCTTGATTTTCATCACGACGGCCTTTAGGTAATACACAAAAAGTATACTGACATGAGGTTAATCAATGATTGCTCTTAATAAATGACTGCTTATCACCAAAACAATCAGGTTAAGTGTGTATAATTAATCATAATCGCTTGAAACAGCAGACAAAAATAAATAACAGATCTTGTAGAAATGTCGGAGCTCTTTACCGGCACGGGAGCAGGAGGCGGGCTTGCAGCCACACCGGTCTCTACATAGTCTGCAAATGCGCTAATGTCAGATTCCTTTTCCACAATGATGCAGAGAGGAGTGCCGAGAGGAACGTCTCTGGTGCCCTCAGCAACCATTATTTTGGCCATGTAGCCCTCCTCTTGTACCTCAAAACCTGAAAACCACAGGAAGGATTTACTAAGTGTTAATGCATATATTAATCGCTCATCATACGCACAAGCAAACTTCTTAAAATCGTGTCTATGCATATACATTTGTATGTGCATATGCCCAATCAAATGTTCACAATGTAATATATCTGCATTTCAACAATTTTAAAATGTAATTACTTCTGATATGGCAAAGCTGAATTTTCAGCATCATTACTCTAGTCTTCAGTGTCACATGATCCATCAGAAATCATCTTCATAGTGGAATTATTGTGGTCTCTGATCTTGAAATTAGCTGATGATATATAAAACGCAGCTCATATCTGCTGTTTTTGTCAATGTAAACTGTTAAATTTGCATATAGCTTGAGAATTGAAGATATATATATATATATTAGTTTTGTGGAGACACAAGTGTAAATGGAACAAGTGTTAAGGTGTAAACAGGTCTTATCTAAGCACCATTGAGTGGAACCAATGAGTTTTGGGCATTGACAACTTTTTCCACCTCATAAGAAATGATTTTATCAATATGTTTATTTAAGGTGTTTTTGTGGACAGGGAAAAAGTCAAAATAGTAGACAATTTACCGATTGTTGCCTTATCGGTCTCAATTTCAGCCAGCAGGTCTCCCTCACTCAGCTTCTCACCCACCTTCTTCTCCCAGCGCTGCACTGTGCCCATAGTCATGGTGGGAGAGAGAGCTGGGAGAAGAACCTAAAGAAAGCAAGACAGCAAGTTAATGACGCCATGGAATAATATGCTTGCTTATGGTTAGATAGGCCAGTATCCCAAATGCTTTCACTTCTGAATTTGTTTGTAGTCACTTTAATATTTGGTCAACATCTCATCCTACCTTCATATGAGGTGGGTAGGAGCTCCCAGGAACTTGTGGTGCAGCAGGAGCAGCAGTGGGCGCTGCTGGAGGGGGAGGGGCAGCAGCAGGGGCGGAGCTAGACATTTTATCCATTGTAAAGTCCTTAAATGCAGGGATGAGGGCAGGACTAAAGGTCAAAAGACAAATGATGTAAATTAAGTGGGAAAAACAAGTCCACAACATCATACATATCAAATCACACAATACTGAATTGTCAACACATGTATCAAACATGCAAATTTAAGCTTTTATCAAAAGCCAAGATCAAGATAGTATAATTTAGGAACATCACATAGGCCCTTCTTTTGATGCACCATTTATCTGTCCTACAACATAACTCTTTTATGCTTTTAAGGACATACATTTTATTTATGCTCTGTATCTTGGCATTGCAGATACAAACGGTGCTTACTTGTCAACAGTAATACAAATGACAGCTCCAATGGGCACATCTCTTGTACCCTCAGAAACCAAGATCTTGGCTAGGTAGCACTCCTCCAATAGTTCAAATCCTACTGTAGCCTTGTCTGTTTCAACCTGACCAAATCAAAACAGAAGAATTCGGATTAGATCAGAATAATAACATGGGGCTGGTGAAAGCCTGATTCGGATCGGTTGACAGATTCTAATCTAAGCTGTCCTAAGGAAAATTATTTAGTTTAATATTTTTTATCTACAATAAAATTAAACAATCAAGTGGCTTCTTGGTGGTAAAACCCCAAATATGCCTCACCTCAGCAATCAGATCTCCCTCATTAATTTTGTCACCTTCTTTCTTTTCCCAGCGTGCAATAGTGCCCATCTGCATAGTGGGGGACAAAGCAGGCAGTTCCACCTGTAATAGAATGAATTAGGTTAAACAGAAAGCTGTAAGAATTTGGCATGAAAGACTATCAAATCTGCATTGAAATGGTTGTTAAGTGGTTTTGTTGCTTTTAGATTTCTAAAGCTACAAAGGACACCTGACTATTGCACTATAAAGTACTATCTTAAGTATTTTTCACTTTAAGTTATATAATAGAGATTGGACTAATAAATTGGTTGGCTCGAAACTTCTTATAATAGGCATGGAAAAGCACAATAAGTTTGTGACTGTTGACAGTTTTATGTTTTGAGGCTAAATATTTAGATTATGTTAAGCAGTTTGAGAAAATGTTATGCTGTCTCCAGTGACAGTATGTTTCGTACAGGCATGAAAACATTGATGGACCTCTGGCAGCCCACAGAATTCATGACACATATACTTCTAGACTGAGCATCTTGAAGGTGACACCAGCAGAAGAAACGCAGTATTGCAATATAGCAGTTCTTAAAGAGACAGTTCATCCAAATACGCATATATTTTTGTCAACTTTTACTCTCTCTAATGTTGTTTTTCCGAAACCGCATGAGATTATTTCTTCTGTGAATCACAGAAAGAGATGACAGATGTCATAGTCACAACGTCACAGTTCACTTCCATTATGTAGAAAGACGCAGTGATACTATAGTGAAGGTTGATTGAGGCTGTGAGTCCCTAACATCTATTGTGTTCCAAATCACGTTTTTGGAAGCACATAACATTATAGCTAGCTTAACTTACCCTCTGATGGGGTGGTAGACTGTACACTCGCATGCTTTGACTGAAACTAGCCGTTTGGCTTCGCAAGACCCATGGTCTGTTACTAAAGATGCTGTTGTACACACGCCGACCATGACACAAGTTCCGGATCCGGGCTGGGCCGTTGGAGTGGTATCTTTTGAGATGATGGCATGACACCGGTCCGGGTCGAGGACTGGCAGCAGTAACGTTAGCAGGGCCCGAGAGGACACTGGGCCGGGTAAGCCTGGCAGATGGGCGCACTCGCAGCGCTAAACGCAACATTTTGAAAGTGATGACCCCGTGCTAAGCCGAAACACTTCGCTGAATTTAAGTAAGGCTACTCTGGTATCAGAATATCTGACACCTGTGGTAGCAGCAGTAGTCTGTACTCCCCAAAACGTACAGAACAACCTCACTTTCCAATGACCTCCCCACTCAAAACATCCCACTTTACGACACTCCTCCTGCTGCGCTTCGTCCTCCGGGTGACGCACACAAGGGTTGCCAGATTTAAAATCGAATCATATACAATATATTGAAATATATACTTTTTTAAAAACAATCCTAATTTTGTTTTAAATAGATGTACTAGCGAAGCCAGCAAAGTTTCAGTGAAAAATGTTGTACAATTATTAATTCTTTTAAATGGTGGTTTGAGATTCTAAAACATGGCAACCTCCAAACTGTCAAGGCCGGTGTCGTAAAGTATCAGTGCTGACGTAAAAGTGCCGTCAAGCACTTTCTATCCAATCCATCCAGAAGGACCACTTTACATTCTTCCGAAACGCAATTTTGATTTACCTATAAATACAACTTATTCTCCCTCATGTCGTTCCAACCCTGTATGACTTTCTATCTTCCATTGAACACAAATGTAAAAGGCAGAATCAAAGCCTCAGTCACAATCCTCTTATATGGAGAAAAAAAAAAAAAAAAAGATACAATGACAGTGAAAGCTGTCAGTTGATAGCATTCTGCCTAACATTTTCATTTGTGTTCCACAGATTTTTAGTCATACAGGTTTGGAACAATGGGACAGTTTTTGGGTGAATAACTGAAAAACTTTAGACAGCCTAAAACAAGATTATGTGCCATTGCTGGAGTTTATTGAGGTATTTTCAAGTACTAATTCATATACTGTTAACATAAGGTAGGAGAACAGGCAAGTGCTTAGAACAGCATTTATTGTAAAGCATTTTTCAGCAAAATAGAAAAATAGAGAACACATATCTAAGGAAAAGCTCCATGTAGCGTTATGTTGCGTTGGAAGTGCATTTGTCTTTTGGATGTCTATTTGACGATTTTAGCGAGGGCCGCTGCTCGCCTCTCTGTGTTCTTGAACAGGGCACGAATGAGGCTCTTCATTTCATTACATGAAAACTCCACTGCCAGAGGTCCTTTGCCCTCGGCCCACCTAAAAAAAAAAAAAAAAAAAAAAAAAACGTTTTTTTTTTTTTTTAAATGTGAGCACCGTTAAATGTATAACCAAAATACATAATTATAAAGTTCCCAATGACAAAAAAAAAACCTAACTAGAAATACAGAGAGACTCTTAAAAATGAATCAAATTTAAAAGATTAAGTACGTGTATGACCTGTCCACTATCTCCTGTAGATTAGCATTTAGAACCATGGAGATCTCTTTTAAGGTCATCCATTTCTTTACATAGACTGGAACCTCTTCTTGGTATTTTTTGTTCTTGTTTTCATCTGGCAATGGATTGAAAACCAGCGGCCCTTCCTCTATAATGGTTTGACACAGTGTTCGCAGTCGCTCACCGTCCACGTTAGATATGTCCTGGAATGACAGCCCTTAGTTAACACCTCAAATAGTTTGGTGGTGTAACAACAAACAACAGCATTATATATTGCCTTACCTCCAACATCATAATCTTATTAATCAGCTCTGATATCGCAGTATTGAGGAGAGTTCCAATGGCTTTGCAGTATATGTTTACTGGCAAGACATCTTGCCAAACTTTTCCCAACCTCCTCAGCTGATGAATTACCTAAAATTCACCACAGCAATAAAACCCCAGTGACAAGTACACTAGGCACAAATATGGCAATACTGGTCTCTAAATTTAAGCAGCAAAAGCCTATTCAGAAATAATTTGTGTTGTTTGATCATACTTGTCTGATAGCCTTGCTAGCTGCAGAGTAATTGTCTTCATCATCCAAATTGGAGAAGTTACGTGCAGTGGACAGTCTCTCCAACATCTCAGCTTTTTGAACGTTCATTTGTGCCACAAAGCACCGAGCACCTTGTTGAAAAACAGAAAGAAAAAAAACAATAAATGGTAGTGTACAAAAATGAGATGACTATTTTAAG